CAAGTCTCAAGGAAAAACATCTTCTGGAACTATACCTCTGATGAATGGGAATTAGCAGACTTCAGCCCACCCCTGTAGACTATCCTAGCAAATTAATAAAAACCTGCTGCTCCCTTTGTTCTGCGAGCGGCAGCTCGGTCACTTGACCAGTTGCTGCCTCCCTTCAGCTGCAGCCCGGCCCGACTCCCCCACCCCATTCCTGGGAGCTCTGTCTGTGCAGGAGCGTGTGTGCTTGCAATATTTAGCCCAGTCTTATTTCTAGCATCTCGGAGTCAAAAGATTCTATTTCCGGCATCCGGCTGAAGATGTGCAAGTAGACAGGGCCCCTCCCCCTCCCCGTGTAGAGTACCCTCACCTCCCCCAGCCTGTCTGTCACTGTCAGGATGTGGGGCAGACAGGCGAGAGAGGCTGGAGTCCTCTGCCGTCACCCTGAGCCTGTGTAACCCGTGGCTCAGGAAGGACCACACCCAAGGCTTTCCTGGGCTAGTGGCCTTTCCAGAGCAGTTGGTGGGGACAATCGACCTGCCTTTGGTGCTTGCCTGCATCCTCAGGGGAAGGATGCTCTCTGCCCTGGACGGACAGGGAGAGGGAGAAATACACCGGATCTGGAACCCAAGATATGGGCTCAGACACATTCCTAGACAGCGAGGACAGGAGCAGTGAGAAAGGCTGCGGCCCTGGAGCTGTGGATCAAGCGGGAAGGGACCAAGCTCGGTTTGAGGATTTTCAGACTGTTTGGCAGGGAGGGTCACTCGATGCCGAACATGCCTGTCTGTGCGCTGGGTGTCCCTATTTCTGCAAGAAGGGAGAACGTGAACTAGGATCTTTGGAAAGGATCAAAGGGGTATGTGTGTGTGTGGTGGGGGGGATTACTAAATACAGGTGACATTCAGAGAGATGCGCGACAGTGCCAGGTGGCCTCCTGGCAGGGGTCGTGTCTTCGGGACCTCGGGTTGGTGAACTCTCCCAGGTCTTAGAGCCCTCAGAGCTTCAGGGCATCCAGTTCCTGTCCGTTCAGGAGAAACCGAGAGTGATTTAGGCCGAGAGAGGAAAGCAGGTGAGAGCCTTGTCGAGTACCAGGAGTCACTAAGGATGCTGAGGCACAGTCGGGAGGCAGCTGAGGAGCGCAGGCCAGCGGGGAGGCACAGACAGCTGTGTCGGGAGGGCCCGGTGGGCAGCAGCGTGGGACCTGCGGTCAGAGCCTGCTCCTGGCACCGGCTGTGGAATCTTTCTAACGGGGTGTGAGATAAGAGGCCTTAGATAATGGGAACATGGGAAGGGCGGCACCGACCCCTTCCAGGGCTGGCACAGTTCGCTTCCTCTCCAGGTGGCCTTCTCATCACGGAGGAGGGTGCGGCTGCGCCTGCAGAGATCACGCCTAGGAAAAGCTTCTGGCTCCTGGAGGGTGTTGCTTCCCCCGCGGCTGCCTCTTAGGGCTCCCTGCACTTGCAGGAGGCCCCTATTCTTCTTCACAATATGAGTTGCACTGTGCGTTTCTGAGCTTTACAGCACGCAGCTCCGGGATGCACACAGACGGTGGAGTGGCCTCTGCCTTGAAGCGGAGCACCGCATCCAGCACCCTGTGGGCACTCTGTGTGTATGGCAGGAGCAGTGGGCTGGGCTCCAACCTTTACTCCACCTGCTTCAGCTCTCCAGAGTGCTAGAATTACAGGCGTGCACTACCAAGGCCGGCTCTGAACATGTTTTCCAAGCAAAAATCCCAATAGGTACAGTTTTGTCACCTACCACCCTCACGTGGTCCCTCAGAATCCTAAATGTGTTCAACCCATACGTCCACTGCCTTGTCCAATGACCCCACCCACCCATCCAGGGAAACCACTGTTTTGTCCCCTATCTCTGTGTATTTGAGCTACTTTTTTTCCCTTGCAGGATTGGAGATGGAACCCAGGGACTTGGCCCTGTGCTATGTCCCCAGTCTTCTATTTTAGCTTTGGAGACATGTCTTGGTAAGCCACTAGGTTTCCCACGCTGGGTTTGAATTGTGACCCTCGCACCTCAGCCTCTCAGAGTGCTGGGATTGTAGAGGTAGCCAGCTGAGCACTGCAGTTTCTTTTACATTCCACATTTGAGCGAGACAGTACTGCACTTGTCTTGCTGTGCCTGGCTTATTTCACTTAGCACAATAATCTCCAGTTCCGTTCATGTTGCTGCACATGCCAGGATTTCACCTTGTGTGGCTGAGCAGTATCTCACAGCGCGTCTGTGCCACATTCTCTTGATTGACTCCTCTGCTAAAGGCCACTCACGCTGCCCCACATCTGGCCACCCTGAACAGCGCTGCAGTGGACACAGAAGTGCAGCTGTCCCCTCACATTCCAGTTCCGCTTCTTTCAGGCACATCCAGAGGAGGAACTGCAGCTCTGTCTTAACCTTTTTAGCACTGCTGTGCTGTTTCTGCAATGGCCAAGCATCTGAGCTGCCACTGCAGTGTGCTAGAAAGCACCATCCTTCTGAGGCCGGAGCAGGTTCACATGATGTGGGGCAGCAGGGAGGTGCAGAGCATGCACTCCTCCCGCCCCTGCCCTCTGCAGTGGGCACTCTCCGCTGGGAGATGCACTGGGGCATTTCCAGTCCTGTCTCATCTGCAGGTCTCGTCCTGACTCTCTGTGCAAGACCTTGTGGCTCGTGAGCTTTGTCTTTGGGCCTGGAGAACCAGGACACCAGCAGAGGTCGGTGCAGGCTGGCAGTGAGGCGAGGAGCCTGGGCGAGTCCTGGCCGGAACACAGGGACTTGCACCTGTCCAGATGGCACTGGGCGGGTGGCATACTGCACCAGAAGGACTTGGCTTTGGGCTGCGGTGCACCGAGTAGGGGCGACTCCTCCCCGGGACCAGAAGCCATAGCTGTGGTGTTCTGTGTCAAATATTGTCCTGCCATGGACGAGGGGACTGTCCTCCCTGTGGCAGTGTGCTAAGTCCCCTCCTGTCCAGAGAGGACGATGTGGTTTCTCTCCGCTTCTGTGCCTGCTATGCGTGTCATCATGCTGCCATCATAGCTGCTGCCTCCGCAGAGTCACTTCCAAGGCATCGAGGGCACAAAAGCACCACCCCCAGAGTGACACACTCACGGCCACGTGAGTAGGCAGAAAGAAGTGGGATGTTCTGTTCTCACTGGAAATGTTATTCCACCAGCTACAGTGGGGCTTCTCTGAGACGCTTGCTCCCGGAAAGGCTTCTTAATTCCTGGTGCGCTGTGCTTCCCAGTGGCCTGGGTGGGTGGTGCTTCCCACAGTCACTGCTAGTGTCTGGAGCTGGGAAGGCACCTGGTCTTGCTTGGCGGAAGCCACGGTACACCCACATGCAAGAGGCAGCGCAGTCCGTCAGAGTCTCGGTAGAGGACAGGGTGCCGGCCCGCTGGGGAGCGCCGCTCACGCTGTCAGGTTCAGCCACATCTTGCCTTAAGCACGGACAGCTTCCCGGAGATCCTGGGTAAAGTCAAGCATGCTTCGCTGGACATGGCCTCATAGTCTGGCACGGCTGCTCACTGTCTATTTCTGTCACTAGCCAGCGATCCTGAGTATTTGTGAGTTCCTTATTTATGAATCCACCGATGTGCTAAAACTTACTTGTAATCACAGTGATGTGCTCAGTACATTCCTGATCCCTGGCCTTGGGGTCCCTGCGCTGCCTCATCCCCAGGCATGTGGAGACTCCAGGGTCCTGCGTTCTGTGAGGAAATCATTTTTGGGATCTCACATTCCTCTCTGAGGTGCTGGGTGGTGAGGGACCTGTACCCTCTCTGAGGAGCTCAGTGTGCGGCAGGAATCCCACACCCTCTCTGCAGGGGACCTGATTTCCAAGGGGTCCTGAACCTCGTGAGCCAGGAATCTCACAACCCCCTGGAAGGTGATCGGTGATGGGGGATCTTGCACTGGATTTTTAGCCATTTAATGGCGAATGTGGGCTACTTCCTTCCTGCTCTGATGAGCTTAAATCAAACGAACCGAAACAAGCTAAATGCAGGCCATTCATTTAGATCGCTTCCAGTGCAGTTAGCCTTGTGCACTCTGCACCCTGATCAGAGGGAACAGGAGATTAATGTGAAAATATTTGTAAACTTCAACCCAGTGTCTACCTTGGCCCGTCTGTGACATGCCTGGGATCCGTCCTCCCCCACGTTGCCCCGGAGCAGTCTCTGTCCGGTGTGAAGTAAGGGCAGTCATCAGTGCCTCTCACCACAGTGGGGATCTGCTGCACATTCCCTCCGGCTGCTGACGGGAGAAATGTGGTTTGTGGACAGGGTGGGCATCTGCCCAGGTGCCAGCAGCATCGGTGTTGTCAGATCTCCTCTTACATTCGTGGATATGAGTTGTTGTGTCTGTAGAAGCATATTACAGATGCTGTTAAAACTGCTATTACAGAGAGGATGGGAGAAGCTTCTCATTTTGTGTGTGTAAGTATACACTATAAGTGTAAAACCTGTTACGCCCAATTCTCTAGGCCTTAATATTTTGAAATTTGTCTGTAAAAAAAGCAACTGATCTCTTTGTGACTGAACAGACCCCTCAGTCAAAGGGAAAAAGATTTCACTTTGGTTCCATTGGTTGATTAACTGATTGCACTGGGGATTGAACCCAAGGCCTTTACACTGAGCTAAGTCCCCAGCCATTTATTTATTTATTTAAATTGTAAGTAGTGGTGGAAGCCAAGAGATGGATGGGGAGGAAAGGATAGGGGAAGAAAAAAAGGAATTAAGATGTGTTACGTACCTTTACCAGCATTGTCTACTACACACATGTACTAACAAAAAAAATTAAAATAATTGAAACGGTTTTTGATCCAGGGTCTCACTAAGTCACTAAGTTGTCCAAGCTGGGTTGGAATTTGGCATCTTCCTGCCCCCGTATGCCAGCATGTCGGGGATTACAGGTGTGTTCTATTTTTAATGCTAGACTTTGATATTTACTTGTTGACTGACACCAGTTAGCTCAGATAATGTACTTGATATTTCTTACACAAAACCCCATGAAGATTCCAGCAAGTCTGCAAAATCACAGTGAGGAAGCTCCAGAACCGAAGGTCCCCAAAAGCCGGCAGAGCTCATGGGCCATAATCCCAACCTGGCCTGCAGCCGACCCACCACACCACGGTCCCACAGAAATCTGTCTGAGAGCTGAGCACCCTGAGAGGAGCTGTTGTTAACACACGACTCACCCTGGAAGCAAGCAGCGGGGCTGGGCTGGTGCGGGGCTGGTGGCCTGGCTCTCAGCGAAGGTGACGACAGACTACTCTTGTGGCTTCTGGCTTTGGGAAACGGATTTCTCGAGGTGGTGGTGGATGCCTGGAACAAGATGAGACAGGATGTGCAGGCTGTGCTGACAGCTGTAGCACCCTGCCCGTGACTTCAACCTGTAGGAGGGCGGGCTCCTTGGGGGTCCCAGCGGTGGGGGAGAGACAAGTCCAGAGGGGTACAGTGTCCTGTGTTGTTTTACCTGCACGTATTTCAAAACAAAACGAAGCAATACCAGCAGAACATGCCGCGTCAGATCTTCCTTCACGTGGCTCAGCCGGGCCACCGAGGCAGGCTGTTTGCAAATACGTGTAGACTGGGAAACACTGGAAGTTGTGGTTTTAGAGGCAGCCGGAGACTTGGGCTTGGATCTGACATTTAGGTGGCCGTTGGAGGCTGTACCGTGTGGTGAGGAACCCCTCTGCACGCAGGTGCTGCCTGTGTCTGCGGCACGTGCCTCTGTGCAGGGACAGTGAGTGCGTTCTGTGGAAGGTGTGGTTCTGTGGCATGGGACTGGCCTTCAATCTGTGAGCTGCTCTTCCTTTTCCCCCATGCTCGCTGGGGGCAGATCACAACGTGGCCTCGCATGTCCGCCCCCCAGCAGGTTCTCAGGGAAGCCAGCCAGGGAGGTGAATGGCTCAGAAGGAGCAGGGAGCTCGGCGCCGGGACGCACATCACCCTCATCCTGAGATTTCCCAGAGGGGACCGAGCCCTTGGCGTCTTCCATGCTCCCGTGTCCCAGGCACCATGGATAAGGCTGATCTTCCTCCGGCCAGGCCTGTGCTTTGTCAGCCAGCACACAGTCCTGCTCCCTGCAGAGATGGCAGGTCCTTGGTGTTAGGGTTGGGCTGGAGTGCGCAAGTGGTCTGGTACCACGCGGGGGATACTCACCGGGACACCCGCCCAGCCCCCGGTTACCCTTGTAGGGGAAGCAGTGCGTCTGTGCAACTGACGCACCGGCATGGCGTGGGGTGGGAGGCAGAAGTCAGCAGCCTCTGGGCACGTTCCTCTTCCTCCTCCCTCCTTCCCAGCACCCTGGAACGGTAGTAGTAACTGCTTGCGAAAGCCCAGGTGCAGGGAGGGTGAGCACTGTCCTCCGCCGGGTGTTGTCCCCCAGACCCCAGGTCCGGTGGCTGGAGAACAGATTCACTTGTCTTTCTTGCCCCAGGACTGTGGAGAGGAAGCCAGGCCGCGGGAAGCCACGGCAGGGCCTGGCAGCGGGAGGGGGAAGGGGAAGCCAGTGTGCAGTCCACGCCCCTCTGCTGCCACCCAGCTTCCTCCAGGCCCGGCCAAGACAGCACTGTGTCTGCGAGGGACGTGGCCGAGCGAGCTTCACAGGGGCAGCTGCTGACAGAGCCTGCACTTGGCCCCTCCAGGCTGCATTTCCACACTTCACAGGACCAAGTCTGATTGATGGAATTTGTTTGAACATTGCTTTCTGGAGGCCTTGTGCCGCCGCCTCCTCCACACAGAACATATGTGCACGCACTCCCCGGGGCAGCGCTCGAATGCACGCATCGTGTGGCTGCGTTTGTTTAGGGTGTGCCCTGTGGTCTGAGGGGACCTTTCCCATGACCCGCAGCTTCCTCGGTGGGCCGCGCACTGATGTCTGGGCTGGGGGCGTCTCTCCTGGGGGCGGCTGCCCTCTCCCCAGCCGTGCCCGGCTGATGGATCATCTGGGCCGCACGCAGCATTCTTCTCCCCTTAGCTGTGAGGAGGAGGGAGAGGAAGAGGGATAAAAGGCCCTAAACAGCTCCCATCTGTTGTCGCGCTGTGCTGTGGACCGGGAGCCTCACATTTGCCCAGCCCTTTCCTCTGTGGGTTCCAGGAGTTTTATCTCATTAACCCCAGGGTCCCCAGAGCATAGACCAAGCTCAGTAAGCCATGTGGGGGTCTCACCATCCCGCCCGCGTGCCCAGGTCACACTGTGGCCCCCACCGGCTGCGCACGGCAGGCCAGTGCTCACCCGGCTCTTCCCACGCGGTGCTTCTCCTCTGGCCCCGAGACCCATCCTCACAGACCATGGCTTTCTGGCACTTCTGTAGCCTGAAAGCTCCCTTGGACTCCTGGGTGTCCCTCCCTGCACTTTAGGCCCACAAAGTATCACCTCACGCATCCCCAGACTCCAGTCCTGAGCAGCCCTGGCCCATTGGAGCGTCCACTTCCTCTGCAGGGTGGATAGATTGGTGAGACGTGTGTGAGAGCCTGCTCCAAGCCTGGAGTGTGTCAGCAGGTTCTCAGCATTATCACCATCTGTGGGGCCGAGCTGGGCAGCATCACTAAGTCAGCTTCAAGCTGCTCATCCTAGGCAGCGGGTAACCACAGGACGGTCCAAACGGTGCAGCGTCCAGGTCAAGAGTAGGGAAGCCAGTGTGCTCATTCCGCTGTCCATTGGCTTCTCCTCCGCGGTGACCTTAGATTTGAGAAGCCGTGGGGTGGAGGAGCTGGGCCCCTGAGTCACAACCTGGAGAGGCTTCCACTGGCCCAGCCCTGGAGACGGGGAACCCTGCAGCTCCTGCCCCTGTGCTCTGCAGCAGCCTCCCTTGTGAGGCTGTCCAGGCGTTCCCAGTGCACCTGGCCCTCCTGCAGTGGGAGGCTTCAGGGATGCAGGAAGCCATGGCCTGCCCGGTGCTCACTTCCCCACGAGCCCTGCACTCAGAGCTCTGCCCACACAGAGGCCGACTGGAATCAGGCCCAGGTCCCGAACTGCTTCTCTAGCACGTTCGGGGTTCACAGACCTTTTGACAGTGAGATCCCACCTGAGAGCCAGTGTCTTGAACAGCAGGCCAATAAGTGAAACTTGTACGGAACATCTAAAATCGCCCATTAAGACTCCAGGTTTTATGTCAGAAGAAAGGACATGCTTGACTAATTACAGTATACATGAAGGGCCAACCACCTTGCAGAGGACAGCTCTGAGCAGAGGGTCCACACAGTCGCCAGGTCTCAGACAGGCCTGTGACGTGAGCACATAGCCACCTCTCTCCCACTCACCTGTGTTGTCTGAGTCTTCCCTGGGCCAGCAGTTGTCACACCTTGCCAAGTGTGTGGACCCTAGCAGTTTCCTGAAGCAGACCAGGAGGGAAGAGGCTGCCAGGGTCCAGCGGTGACCAGGCCTAGGCATCTTCCGTGTGTTCTCCTGCGCGTCTGGGGGACCAGGCCCTTCCTTTTGCTGCCTCTTGGTGGCCTCCAGCCTCCACAAGGTCTGCGGGGTACCACAGGGCTCTCTGAGTGTCTGCGGAACAGACGTGCGTGTACACGCCCAGCAGCGCACAAGTAGACAAGCCTGACCCTGCGCCGCTCTGACGCCCTGCCAACCAGTGTAGGTCAGAAAGAACCGCACTGCGCCACATCCCAGGCTGGACAGCACGGCATTTCCTGCAGTGTCTCCTGGCTTAGGATTCAAAACCTTCCTGGGGATGGAGGCCTCCCGAGACAGCGGATGAGGAGGCCATGCGCCCTGCCAGCGGTCCCAGCGGGCAGTGCTGTGCTAAGTGTGTGCCGGGCTGGGGTGTGGCTCGGAGGTGAGTGCTGGCTCTGCTACACGGGGCCCTGGGCTCCAACTGCAGTGCTGCAGAAAGAGGACTAGGGGAGGGGCTGTATATCTAGTTCTCTACTTCCTGTGTGAGCGATGCCACGCAGCCTATGGTCGAGGACACGGAGCTCTGTGCAAGCGGGGAGGTGTGGCACCCGCCCGCCGGGCAGGAAGTCTCAGAACAGTGACTTTGGGGCTGGCCCTCATGGCAGGAGGGCCACTTCCACTTTGGCCGCACAGGCCCCATCCCCAGACTGGGGCCCCTGTTCCCGCCACGCCACGTGTGCGACTGGGAAGGGACTGTTGATGCTTCTGTAAGCTGCTCCGTTTATCCCTGGGTAAATATTAATCTGGTGCAGTCAAACACGTGATATATTGCCAGCCACTTCATGTGCGCGTCCTCAGGGACACAGGGGCCCTTAGCTCCATTTGTCTCGCGTCTGCATTTTAAATATTTAACAAAGACAACACAATGTTATGGGAAAAGCAGCTTAAAATCTAGACATGTGGGTCTGAGGAAACGATTTTGCCTCTTTTTGTTTAACTTTTTCCTTTTATTTTTAGCAACAAACACACACACACACACACACACACACACACACACACACTACGCAGCCCGGAGCGCTTCCACCCCTGCTTTCCTGGGTGATATACACTTACGGAGACATGTCTGCGCTGCGCTCCACAGCTATGGCTGCTCTGCCAAGAGGGCACATCCCGTCACTCGGCCGTGTTTGTGCACGCTGTCACCGAGCCCTGAGCCCAGGCACACCACGGCCAGGCCACCGGCAGGGGAGGGAGAGCCCTCCGGAAGGTCACAGGAGGCAGAGGGCACAGTCTCGGCTGGTGTCTCCACGCCTGTGGCGCGCAGATCTGGGATGGCTGCCTGCCCCGGCGCAGAGCCCCAGGCGGACACTGACAGTCAGTGGGAGTCTCACTTCCGTGGCCTCGGTCTTCGGAAGGAGACTGTGAGTGTCAGAACGTGTCAAGGTGTGAGTCTGGGAGTGAGGGTGCGGATGTGTGAGCGCAAGTGCGAGATCGAGTTTGAGAAGGGCTGAGAGTGTGAACAGGGAGCGAGTGTTTAATCTGTCCATGTGAGAAAGAGTGAGTTTGAGAATGCGTCTGTGAGGATGAGCTGGAATGAGTGTGTATTAGATGGTGAGCTGAGTCTGCGGGCAAGCAGTGTCTGCAAGCGTCACAGTGACACCACAAAAGTGTCGGGGTGTGTGAGTCTGGGCGTGAGCAGGGTCTGAAGCTGTCAGAGTACAAGATAAGAGCGTGAGTGTGCATCGAAGTAAGCGGGTATCCAAAAGTGTGCGAGAGTGGGCTGGGGGCGTCACAGTGTAAACGCAAATCTGGAGGCAGGGATGTGCCTAAAGTGTCTGTAGGCCTGAGAGTATCAGAGTGTGCAGGTAAATCTGAAAGCGAATGCGTATTTAAATGTGTCTGAGAGTGACCCTAAGAGCGTCAAAGTGCGAGTGCAAGTCTAGGGTGAGCAGGTGACTGAACGTGTCTGAGGGTGTGTGCCTGGGCATCTTGAGTGTGGATGTGCTAGGGAGTGAGGGTCAGAAAGTGTCTTCGAGTGCGAGCCCGTGGTGCCCGAGTGTGAGCGTGAGTCTGGGATGAGTGCGTGTCCGAAGCGTCTGAGAGTGTTGGGTTTTAAGTGGAGTCTGAGAGTGAGGAAGTTTCCACAAGCTTCTGAGAGTGAGTCCGGGAGTGAGTGGGTGTCTCAGAGTACCTGAGTGCGAGCCTGAGAGCTCGCACGTGAGTAGGTGAATGGGTGACCAAAAGTGCCTGAGAGTGAGAGCCTAAGTGTGTCAGAGTGTGAGTGCCAGCAAAGTGTCTGAGAGTGTGAACCTGAGGGTGTTGCAGCGGGGGTAGGAGTCTGCAGGTGAGCAGGGGTGTGAGGCATCTAGCAGTATAAGTGTGCGTGTGCTGGAGTGGGAGTCTGAGGGTGAGTCAGTACCTTGCAGTGTCTGAGAATGTGAGCCCAAGGATTCTGGAGTGTGAATGTGATCCTGGGAGACAGTGGGTGTGTCAGAGTGTCACCGAGTGTGAGCCCAGCCATGTCAGAGTGTGTGAGTCTGGGTGGGGGTTGATGTCAGAAAGTTTTGCGGATGTGAGCCCGAGAGTGTCCAGTGTGAGTGTGGGCCTTAGAGTCAGCCAGCGCCTGAAAGCGTGTGAGAGTTGGAGACTGCGAGTGTGCACCTGCAGATGACGGGGTGTCTGAAAGTGCCTGGGACTGGGAGCCAAAGTCTCCAAGTGTGAGCGTGCAAATTAGTGAGTATCTGAACGTGTCTTATAATGGACCCCAGGGTCAGTGTAAGGCCGGCAGTGAGCAGGTATCTGAGAGTGCCTGAGCGTGTGAGTCCCGCTGCTGAGGCAGCAGAAACACTGAAACGTTGCCCGGGACTTGGAGGCCCCGGACTGCGCGAGGCTGAGGACACCCCGCCGGCTGTGCTGTGTCGGGCCGGGGCCCGGACTGAGGGCTCTGGCCGTGTCACCCCACTGCTCCTCCCGAACAGTGCACACCTTCCCACTAAGGCCTGCCCCTGCTCCCCCAGCACCCCGGCCCGATGCGGGGATGACGCTCTGGTCAGGCTTGCAGTGTCGCCCTGTGTCTCTCCTCCCTGAGCCCCCAGGGGCACGCACACGGTCACAGCCACTGGCCGGCTGGGCCCTCGCGTCCCTTCCTTCCTCTGAAGTGGCCTCTGGACAGCACTGTGGTTTCCACTGGCAAGGCTGTGCTGGCACAAACACACCCCCACACGTGCACATTCACACATGCACATGCTGCACTGACTATACACATGTACTCACACACACAACACTCTCATGCATTTGTGAGTGCTCACACACAACCACATCATGCACACGAACACTC